GTACATGTAGTTCTGTGTTATACCGCATTGGTTTCCCGGACTACTTACATAACCTCTTTCATATAAGGCATTTATAGTACCTAGATCCCTATAGCGGTAGAATTATAAGCATACTCCTTCTATCCATAAATATTATCAGGGCAGTCACATTAGTCATTGGAGACTAGCAAAATCGACCGTATATGTTTAAGGCAGTTACACAAAAAGGCAACTCCAGGAGTTGAGGGCCACTTACGGAGTGCTACTTCCTCAACCCTACCATACTATCAAAAATTCAAAATATTAGTTTGATTGCAAATTTATCCACTTCTATCTTCTGCTCACATCGTCCATCATTCTTTGAACCACTGAATGGTCTAAATCTTTCGGTGTAATAATCGTCCTCGTTCCTTACACTAGGAAAAAACGACTTACTATGCTACTGATATTTCGCCTTTAATCATTTAATTGAGTGTTAAAGACCCATTGCTCAGAATGTTAAGAGAGGCCCCCAAGTACGAGCCGGATGTGCCAGGCCAAATGTCGGATAGATATGCGGATCCTAGTTCTCAAGCGATGTCCAGTCAGACCGATCTCGTTCAGCCACTAGAGGACTCACAAGACACAAATAGCAATGTCATAACCAAAAGTACTCCATTAGAGGCGTCATCCCAAGATGCTCTCCCTACCCGGGCTACAGAGGCGAGCTTCTTCACCCGTCCGGTACTGGAAACAACTGAGGAGATAGGGGCCGCATTCCAATTTCAAAAGGCGCCGCCTCCTCGTATGATATCCCATGGCCCTGTTGGACAGCAAAGAAATCCAGCCCTCCCTCCTCCTCCTCCTCCCGTGATCAATAGAGCCTCGCATGGTGGTCTAAGTCCCGGGGTTTCTGGCTTTAATAGTCATGATAGGCCAGCGGAATCTCTGCCATCAACAAGCGGTAGAGATAGAATAGGAGAACATTATGATAACGATAAAGATGATGATATTGTCGACATGATAGTATACCCCCAAGAAGCCCCAAAGAGTACTCCCAGTAACGACCAGCCGCCCGTCGGCGACTCGTCAGGCTTAACGTCCACTAAAGACTCGGTTGGCTTTCCTTTCCCAGACAATACTAGCCAGCCACATTCCAGCAGGAAGACGCAAGCATCTCACTATTCTCCTCTAGCGAAAGCTCAGTTCCCAAAGGCAATCTCGGATGCCCGTCGAAAAGCTCTTGCGCAAATAAGCCCTCGTAGTGTATTACCACGAGCAAAAGCGGCATTATCACCTACTGCCAACCCCCAATCGGCGCAACCAAGAAGCACACCAGATAGGGCGGTTCCATCTAAGACAAGGAAATGCTCGGGGATCCACAAGCAACCTCGGAGTGATCATCAACCCCCAAAAGATATTGGTGTCAAGGAAGCCAAACGTGGTTCTATAAAGGATCTTCGAGACAAGCGAAATAAAGTCCAGGGTCTTACGCGACCTATATCATTTGAGGCATCAGAATATGATGTAGTTTCCGCAGTGAGATCGTGTTCTCAAGCATCGAATACTGCGAAACCACGAGCTCCTCCTAGAGCCAATTCTAAGCGACGCACTCCCACACGCGAACAGAATAACATGAACGTAGAAGCATTCGCAAAATCTTGGAACACGAACATTACCTACAATCAAAAACTACTAGATCGTTGGGAGCAGAAAATGTCTTTACTCGAAGACCATATTGCATCTCAAAATTTAGTTATTGAGAATTGCCAGGAAACAATCGCGTGTCGTGATCAGAAAATCGATGACTTGTCGGCAGAAGTTGAAAACCTTCGTACTCAAAACCAGGACATTCAGAACAAGATAAAGATATCTTCTGATATACGCAAGAAACTGGAGGATAAACTGAAGTCTTGCCGAACTCGTTTGAATGATGCAATCGGCGAACAACAACGACTCTTCTTACAATGCAGGGAAAATTGCCAAAAGGCGACTGCAGACATCGAAGCGGAAGAGAAATCACGAAAAGAATCCATAGATAAGGCGTTTATGACACTTGAGCGCCTAAGAACCGAGTTTAGGCAAGAGGTTGCTGGGATTGTCAAAGATGCCAATGGACAAGTCGACGAATGTATGTAAAATAATCCCTCCTAAAACACTGATACTAACGTGCGATAAGTGAGCAAGACTATCAAGTCTCTCAAAAGCGAGCTAAGAGATCGTGAGATGGAACTTGAACGCGAAAAACAGCATAGCCAGGATCTTACCGAGCAGCTATCCCAGTTTCAAAAACTAAATGAGCACTCGCTCCAGTTAGTATCGGCACAGAATCAAGAGTTTTTAGACCAAATGAAACAGGATCGGAAGCATGTTGAGAATACCGAGACTCACATTCAAAGACAAGAAGAAAAGTAAGGATTCCCTAGTTATTCGACTTGGGTCGAATCTTACTAACTTCATAGGCTTAACATGATTCTAAAGACGCTGGAACAGACGAACTCAAAAACTGTGGACCCTATGGTAGTAATGGAGAAATTAAGAGAAGCTCATAGTAGCATAGCTGCAGCGTATGCGTCTGAACAATTCTGAAGAGTACCTATAGTGCTAACAAGCTATTAGGATTGTCGCAGAATTCCAAGATTCTGTCGCGTTAACCCATAACTCTGTACTTGAGGAACAAGAAACCTTAAATGAAAGTATTGGGGAAATTCGTTTGCTATGCGAAGGTATTTACGAGAAATTGACCGGACTCAATGATGTTGCAGTATGGCAAGAGAGGGCACACGATTCTGACATGGCTATCAATAGCCACATCGAGCAGATTCAAGACCTACAAGATGAATTAAACCAACTATACATCCGCATAAATGAGCAGACGGGAGAGCGTCAAGAGCTCGAGAGGCGGTTAGCAATTGCTACAGCCAATGAGCAAATTACAAATGAGAAGGTCAAGACTCTGGCAGAGCAGACTGAGCGTCTCCAAGGAATAATAGGCGAGAAGGAAATAAAAGTAAGCGAATCGAATAAAAACCTCGAGGCAGTTCAGGAAGAATTGAGAAAGCAAACCCGCGTCGCTCAAGACAGGGAGAGGCACATTCAAATTGAGCGCGAGAAGCACCAAAAAGCAATTGAACTTAATGTGCAGCAATCCAAGCAAGAAGTATCCCGGGCCGTTACCGAAAAGACAAAGGAGCTTACAGAGAAACATCAAACAACAGAAAAGCAGCTTGAAGAAGTAGAGGTGGCTCGCGCACAACTTGAGGAAGAGCTAACTAAATCACGGCGAGAAGGAGAAATGAGCAGAGTCAATCTTGATAGAGACATACGCCAAATACGAGGCGAAGTTTTGACGGCAACCACCTCAATAAAGAAGATGACTGCCGATCTGGAGGAAACCGAGAATGAGCGGGAAGCTTTACGAGGGAGTCTCGAAGGATGGTCGCGTGGTCGAGTTGAAGTTGATCAGATGAAACATATACTATGGCGACTAGCAAGGGACCAACCTAACGCAATTCAGATGAGTGACCAATTGAAGCAACTTTTAGAAGTTCAGAAAAAGGTGTCAGGTACTTTGGCGTATCACCAAGCGAAGGTCATCGATGCAGAAGCAGGTGCCCGTGACCAAAGCCGATCAACAAAATCTGGAAACAGTTCTATATTGACGAGCAATCTACAGGGCAACATGTCTCATGCACAAGAAGCGTCTCAAGATCTTAAGCGAAAGGTCATGGTCAAGTCTCCGGTTACTATGGATGATCGCGTATCTCCAATGTCTGTTGAACAAGAAAGGAGTACAAGACGACACACAACACCCCTGCGAGGGATTATGAAGGTCATCACCAATGATACTTTAGGAGAAGCGGAAGGAGGAGGGAACATACTGGAAGCGAATACCCATGTGCCAGTAGCACCACAGCTCCCCCTCAAGCGGAAGATAGCGAGACGTGGTTCAAAGCCCCCTCTTACTACTCATAGCATATATAATCGGCCCGTGGCTGGATCTATCCTAGAAACGGACAGTGAACAGGTCGAAGCGAGCCAAGCTGGCCCCAGCGGGCACATTAATCACAATGCTATCATTTCCGACTTGGCACACCCTGACAGCAGTGCTAATGAGCCTCCAGAGAAGAAGCAGCGAATTTCAAGAAACAAACAGCACGAGGCCCAGGGTTCTAACATATCAGAAAGAGTCAAGTTATCCCGTTCTATGTCTGGTTACTTTCAAGCTCGGACATTAGAAAACAAAGAACCGACTAAGGGAGCATTGCTAGATTCAAGTGCACCCTCACGTCGCGGAGGTCCAATAAGGAGGAAGCTCCCTGGACTAGTGACCTATGGCTCGCAAGATCCTAGCCAGGGGTTATCGCACAGCCAGTCATCCATTATATCTGGTACTACGGGAGAGGCCGATAGCCAGTCGACTACAGCTTCTTGCCAAACAATAGAGTCGACAGACGACCAAGCTTGGGAGCAAGATGTTCTAGAGGGCTAAGGCCGTAGTAAGTTTTGCAATTAGAAACTGCAATGGACATCAGCGAACCAGAACCGAGCTCAAGATCCTATTTTGCTTCCAAAGCGCTTAGAGGGGTTTACTTTGACAATGGCGCATATTCCGGAAGATGGGAAGAATATCTATATCCTCACTAAGCTTTGCTTGAGATACTCTCCAAAATGATAAAATGTAAAGATGTATGCATATTCACAGCAGAGCTTTAATTTGGTCTTTCGAAGGGCGGTGGTCAAGCTTAATGCAGTAATGAATATTTTACTTTCCTTGATATGCGCCGCCTAATGTACGGTGAATATCTGTAGAGGCGGTAATATAATAGCTCTCGCTCCAGTACTGTACAGATATATATACATACAACCCTTGGAGATGTTCGCAAAGAGTCTGTTTAGACCAATCCTTCTACGCATCTGAGTCTTTGAGGCGGCCGGAGGGTTGCGGCTCTATATGGTGGGCGCATGATATTCGAGGCTTCACTACTCATCGTGGAGAAGGGAAGTTTCGTATATCGAGGCGGGAATTGAGTTCTAGGTGCTTATTTTCCTTTCCGCTTCTGTTCGAGGAAGAGCACCTTTTTCCGAACTGTGGTACACACCGGAAAGTTAGCTATGAGTTTGACTTGAATATAGATGCTCTCCACCTATTTTCGTCTCGCATTCGGGGTATTCAACGTACCGATAGGGTCGTATTTCAGCATGCTCATGGGCCGTGACGTTCGCGGGCGGGAGAATGTGTAGAAGAAACCGGTCATGGCCATGGATATAAGGCGCACGGAGAGCAGACGGGTCTTCGCTACTTCGGAGTTAGCAGGATGCTATTGCTAAACCACAGCTTATGTCGGGGGGTTTTTTTTGACGTACGTTTCTTCGCCATTGTCTAGGATTGGCGACCGTCGGGCGGTTAACGGGTATGTTGGAGGATTGTTCACGATGTCACAATTCAATGCGATGAAGATTTTGGTGGAGCTTAGCTTGGTCGTGTGGCTGGTGCTAGTGCTACCTTAGCGTCAGATGGGGGGTAATAGTAGCCGTATATATACGGTATATATACGGCTCCCAGGTATGAGCCGCTCCCAAATGTTAGGGAAAAACATGAAGCTCACCAAATTCATACGCATCGGCGTTTTGAGCCAATCAATTTTTTTTGAGTGGTACAAGTGCTGCGCGGCTCCCACACTGTGAGCAGCTCCAGCCAATGAGCGGCTCCTGCGCTTCTCACACTTTTTGCGCCGCTCCCGTTTTGAGCCGCTCCGGGTAAGTGCATATATGTAAAAAGGTATATTCCCATACATTTTGTATGGGAATCTACTTAAATGCATTACAGTTAAGATTACGGGTCACAGGTTACAGGTTACGGGTTACGGGTTCTAGTAAATAATTTAAATTTAATTGATTTAATTGGAAGGTTACGTGTTTTTCAAATAAACTACGTTACGTATTACGGGCACGCGTGTAGATTTGTAATTATGGGGTATAAAGGGGTCTGTGCGGTCACATATATGTAATAATACCATGTACGTACCGCTTAAAACGGGGGAGCCGCTCAAAATGGGAGCGGCGCAGAGATGCGAGCGGCGCAACGGCCGCTCATTGGCTAAAGCCGTGCTAATACGGCTCATTTTAGCCTAGCGTTCTAAATATTTAGCGCGTTTAAACCGTAAGCGGTAATATTACCACTTAAATATTTGAGTCATTTAATTCTTTAAACGTAAGAATCGGGAGCCGCTTTTTGCATTGAGTGGGATAAGTGCGGCTATGATTTAATAAGCGGTATATATGCGGCTACTGCTACCCCCCTTATGACGGTAAGGTACATAGTTGGAACCTGTGCGGAACCTTACCCCACTATCGGAATGTTCAAGCCACATTTGATATAAGGGTCCCGCTGCGGAAAAGGCATTTACGGACTGCAGCCGGCGGCAATTGGATCTTGCATCTTATCAAATCCCGGGCTTAACCAATTTGCGATTTCGCACTCCAGCACCTTTTTTTGACTCACTAATAGAAGTCTAGAAGTTTGGTCCAACGCGCCCTGTATGTACTTGGCTGCTTGGTCTAGCTACATTATAGGGATTCATGAACCTGCTAACTTAAGCAATCGCATGGACTTTCCGGAATGGACTTAGCTGCCGATTTTCTCCAAGTCATGCCTACCGATCGGATCTGGTATAGCTATCGTCTACGTCAAAAGTCAACCAATAATGTGTTTCCTATTTGTCCATGCCATATACTTAGTTCTTGGTATCGATGCTGTATGTCTATTTTCAACTCAGCTAGGGGTTTGAACGAGTATCTTAAGAAGATGGATCCGGTGTAAGAATTAAATTACCTAGAATGGTAGGTAGGCTCAAGACTCAAGCATAACCCTTCGGAATTGTTAGTGGGACACAAGACTATCAGTTATATACAACGGAAATTCACTGTCTATAAGTCACAATATTCGGCTGTTTCGACAAGTTAAAGATACAAGTTCAAGAGCAAACATCAAACAACCCTTTCAAAATGCCTTCTGTCAGCCTTGAATATCCCAAAGAACCTTACAACAAGGTTAATCGATATGACTCTCGAGGTAATACACATAACTAACATCCAAAGCTAGGTAGTTTGCTAATACCTCTCAAGCTACCTATGCTCTAGAGACCATCCACCAGATAGTGAACGCCTGTCCTATTCTCCATGTCTCCTTCGCCGTTCCTAACTCCCCCTTTCCTACGATCCTGCCTATGATAGGACAGATGGGCTCGTTTGACCGGCCTAGCGCGGATACGGGGGATGTACTCGAGCTCTATCTCCACGGCTACGTTTCATCGCGGCTCATGAACATGTCGCGAAACGCCACCAACGACAGCGCCTCGTCAGGGGAAGAAGAGGGACTGCCAATATGTGTGGCCGCCAGCCAAGTAGATGGTCTGGTCCTGGCGCTCACTCCGAACTCGCACAGTTACAACTACCGTTCGGCATCACTGTTCGGGCACGCGAAGCTAGTAACTGATCTCGAGGAGAAGCAATACGCCATGGAACTCATCACCAACTCAGTAGTCCGCGATCGCTACCGTCACACTCGCGTCCCGCCCAACGCCGCCGAGATGCAGAGCACCAGCATCCTACGCGTCAAGATCTCCGCCGGGAGCGCTAAGCTCAGGACCGGCATGCCCAACGACGAAAAGGCAGATGTGGAGAACGGCGAGCTACTAGATAAGGTATGGACAGGCGTAATTCCCGTGCATTACACTCTGGGAGAACCGATCCCCGGGCCGTATAATAGGGTAGAGCAGGTGCCGTCGTACCTGCGAGAGTTCATCACGGATTCTAATCAGTATGCGAAGGAGCTTGCTGTTGAGGATGCTATGAAGCCAATGGCTGCGAAGCCGAAACATCATGATGATGATGACTGATTTTGCTCTGGCCCGGGGCGCTTTCCCCTAATTGTTAAGCATTGTGCTTATTATTGTCATGAAAGAATCTCGAAGTTGAAACTAGCCGGCTTTATACAGTATTAGTTCCATTGCTGTTAAATTACTACCTCTGTCTTTAACGATTACAATTTTCTTATATTAATAACGAGATAGCGCACGTTTTAATATATTCGATATTTCATATTGATGAGTACCTATATAGGTAGGTATATAGTCGCTCATTTGTGTTGAAGCAGAAACCAACGTAGGTAGAATCGCAAGTATTTAACCTTAGGTACCCCGGTATATTTTCGACTCTTCATCCCTACGACCTTCCGCGAGGCATCTTCGCAAGACCGTACATATAAGTCAAACTTCCCCCTTCACGCATGAAGTTCGGTTAGCTAATAAAATCACTCATACAGCTCATATACTGATTTTGTTTTGAGTAGAAATGTCAGAGATACCCTTTGATGGTTGTCATACACAGAGTGGATGTCAGCACAGATAGTATTGAACTAGTAACGCCTGGCCTTCTATCCTCTTACGAGGGCGCTGCGCGCGTCTTATATAGTAGATAGACTACTGTAGCTACCCCTAACCCACTTATACCCTGACAGGAGCCAACGGCGTCCGTAAACAGACTCCTATTGATATTACGCTCTTACACCGAAGAAAGCATGGCCTGTTCTAATCAACAGCATGCCACTGCCCCTCCTACGGAATTAGATATTTGTGACCTAGGGATATGCCAGCCACCCATGGAAGCAGATCTAACGTTAGGGTCACCGCAAGAGAAGGACCAAACCTCACAAACTGAAGCTATATACCTTTCCGAAGATTCTCCTGTACTAATGAACGACCAGACCCAAAGTATCCCATGACACCTTTAGTTCTCTCGGCATGATCCAGCCTTAGTTCCCATCGGAGAAAAGGGGGCATATTTGACTTCATGATAGAAAATACACATCCTGGATTAAAAATGCCCATACGCCATTTTCACGGACTAGATTATTCGAATATACACTATATAGGTACCTGTTTATCATAGGCAAGTGCATGAAATACTCGTAGTAGCGTTACCGCGCTCACCAATTCTGCCAGATATAGCTCGGTATCACGGTCCGCATTACAGCCCAATGGCCCAGAGCGCCCTGATCGTGCCACTTCTCTAGCTTCTCGGTCTCGTTCACCCTAAGGATCCCCGCGTCCGCGGCAGCAGCCAAGAAGGCCGATTCGTTCACCTCGTGCTTGGGCAAGAGGTACGCCCTCCTGGCCAGACTACCGAGGTAGTCGGCTTCTGTGGGTTTTCGGAACGTGACTTTCTCTCCTGTTTTGGTACAAAAGACGATGACATTGTCAAAATCGCGGCCCGCCTCTTCAACCGCCTCTGCAGAAGGCGCCTCGCTTTCTCTGAAGATACGGCATGAGGGGAAGACTTCCCTAATCGTATTCATGACAATGCCAAGTGGGGGTAGAGTGAAATCACCAGCATAGTTCTAAAATCATTAGTTTTAATGGTATTAGATATGCATGTACTCAAGAAGACTTACAATAGCTATTACACCATTAGGCTTTAGCATGTGCCTTAAGCCTGATAAGAATTCGTAGGTAAATAAAGGTATTGGCTCTGCGCCACCCGTGAAGACGTCATGAATAATATAGTCGTAATATTCGTGGAGGGTATCCTTGTTAGACTGGCTCCAGGAGATTGCGTCTTGAATCACGGCTGTATGATTCAGGGGTAGACCGAAGTATTTCTTGGCAAAATCATATACCACGGGATCGATCTCGACAATGGTCGTATCTATGCCATGAGCTATCAAGGCTGATGGTGTAGTTCCGATACCAAGACCACTAAGATGTCATTAGTGGCTATGAAAATATTCATAAAAAGGGATACTTACATATTTAGAGCTTTTGCTTCATTGTCAGGTGCTTTATTTGGGGTTGGAATCAGACGCACTGCTTCAAGTTGAGTAAAAACACTGTAGATGGGTTCTGCAACTATTTTCCGCCCAAACTTGGTCCACTCGCCGCCGAGTAGACTGTGGTCACACCTCATTGCTCGGAATCCGTCCTTATGATTGTTCAGGACTGAGATATACCCAGTGTTAGACTCCCATCGATCAACTAATGACCACCCACTAGCCTGTAGGGTTGCGTTTAGAGAGCTAGTGGCCATCGGGGTCATGAGATGCGTATTGTAAAAACCAGCATGTAGGATTGCCGGGATGGCCCAGACGAGGAGCTTCGACCGGGCCATGATGCTATAAGTCGTAGCTAGCACCAATTCCAAACCAATACGCGTCTGCGGCAGCGACTTGCCAATCTGTTCAAACAGTTGCTGCAGCGTTTCCTTTTCAACAAACTTGAAGAATGCATAGGAGCCTAGACCTGGCGCGGAGCCGGCAATGGATTTCGGCAAGATGCTCAGATCAGCGTTTTCGAGGACGTCTGCTATACACGCCGTACTAACTACAGCGAGAGGGAATAACGTAAGAGCCTCAGTGATAGCTGGTCCCAGCTCCGCACCGAAGGTCTCACTGGCCTGGAAGAGGAAAAACTGGGCCATAGGGACATATGCGGCTACTAGGGGTAGTAGAGCAATCGTTTTGAAAGGCAAGGAGCGTCTCAGAACAACGTTAACCCCCCATCCTACAAACAAAGCCGACCATACTACTCTCTGATGTAGTCTAGTCGCGGCGATTTGGCCGTAGACAGGCGATAGCGTCAGCTGGGAGACATTGGCGTAGACGGCCATGAGTATGATGAGGGCTGCAGCCTTTACATAAACAACAGCCTGCTCGATAGCCCAATTGATCCAACTCTCCTCCTTGGCTTGACCAGCTAATACCTTAAGCTCTTCTTCGAACTCTTCCTTGGTCTCCGCAGGTTTCTTTGGTCCTCCACCTCCCGTTTGGGACGCCCCCTTTTTCGGGGTCTGTTTTCGTGGAGGCATAATGAGAAGAATAAATGAAAATCAGCTAAATTCGCTAGTTAATATGTAAACATGCAGAACGATACTAGCTATAAAATGAATGAAGAATTGGAATCGTGGCTCTTAACAGCCTGCTGTTAGAGCTCTCATATCCTCTATCGTACTTCTTGTATGGTGTTGTAGTGTTTTATAGGCTAAGAGGATCGAAGTGAACAGATGTCTTGATAATTCAATAAGACGGAGTTCTTTACACGCCATTTTCGGTGGATCTGTGGCAGTGTAGGTACATATCTGGTTGTCTGGGTACATAATTGTGGCTAGTTTGACCGGATGGCCCCAGATCTGACGGGCGCTAAGGCATATTCGGTCTAGGTCGATGACTTCAGGTGCCTGCATATCTTATTCGTTAATTGTTGGAGTAGGACAGAAAGATAGTTTCCTCTTAAATAAATATTGCGAAAATGGACGACGATGATGACTTCGGTGCCGACGCAGATTTTTTATCTGCTTTGGCCTCCTCTACTGCTGGAAGTAACTCTAGTCAAGCCCTATCCCAACCTACCACGAACCGTGTTCAGCAACCCGCTCCTCAAAGAATCCAACAGCCAACTCCCCAGAGGATACAGCAGCCGACGCCTCAACGTTTAGACAAACCACCACCGATTTCTAACTCATCCGCGCCTAAGATTGTCCAACCGACACCTCAAGCTCTCCCACAGCGCTCATCCGGTTCTTCAATTCTAGTATCCCCGCGCCAAAAAGGGAACCCCGTACTAGCATCCCTACGTTCCGTGGCATGGGAGTACAGTGATATTCCAGCTGATTATGGGCTAGGGTTAACAACATGTGCCCTGTTTCTAAGCCTCAAGTATCATCGGTTACATCCCGAATACATTTATACCCGAATTCGTAATCTACAGGGAAAATACAATCTGCGCATCCTCTTAACTATGGTCGATATACCCAATCACGAAGATTCCTTGCGCGAGCTCTCTAAGACCTCATTAATCAACAACGTCACCATCATTCTTTGCTGGTCCGCTGCCGAGGCCGCGAGATACCTCGAATTATACAAATCCTACGAGCACGCGAGTTTTGGCGCTATTAAGGGGCAGCAAGCTACGAGTTACGCCGAGAAGCTTGTCGAGTTCGTCACGGTGCCTAGAGGAATCAACAAAGCCGATGCTATTTCTCTTGTCAGCGCATTTGGTAGTTTGAAGAACGCAATCAATGCCGATCCCGAGCAGGTTGCCGTTATTGGCGGCTGGGGAGAGAAGAAAGTCAAGAGATGGTGTAGCGTTGTGGAAGAGCCGTTCCGAGTTCAACACGCAGCAAAGAGACGCCTTGTTGACGAGAGCAATAGCGCTGCCGACAAAGCTATTCCGTTGAGCCGAGTGCCACTGAGAGACATGCCTCGTGTACCAGCAAATCTGTCTCGAAGCAGTGCTACTACAGAACCACAAGGTGAACCACCCTCGGAGCCTAAGCAGGACCACCAAAGTCGAGATGCTGCTATAGATGAGTATGATGAGGAAGCAATGCTGGCGGCGGCCATTGAAGAATCCAAGAAGACAATGGTGCAGGAACAGCCGTCCAGCTCGACTTCAAAAGCACGCGAGGAAGACAAACTGAGCGATGGAATAGCCGCGGCACTCGCAAAGCTCAGGGATAAGGGATAAGGTACGATGATGATACCTGCCTAGTTTAGGTAGGCTAGGCCTAACACTCGGAGCGTCCCGAGCAGTGCTACCTCTTAGATGCGAAGGTACGACTTGAATAGCCTAGCAGAAAACTATGGCGTTCATGAGAAGGTATCACAGTAAGGAAGAAGCATGTGGTTCACGATGCATATTCCCATATGATCTCGGTCAGGTCATATATCTTCTAGTGTAACCAATCACCTTGAAGTCCGGAGCTATATACACTAATAACGCAAGGCGCTAGTGGGGGTCTGCTTGGCGGATTTCCCCAGGGAATCTTGGTCGAGGCGGTCTAGCTGTAGGTATGTAATTCAGGTTTGTCTTTAGCTTGGGAGATCCTCGTAGGAATTATGGGAATTATGCACATATGCATAGAGGTACCTAGGTAGATTCCGCGGACAATTTCTCAAAGATCCCTTGGATATTCTCCGGAAATATGCTAGATATTCCTTATCGGGATTTAAAAAATATGGCGTCGTGGAATAGCCCCTCGCAGCGGCAGATCCAGGGTTAAATTATCACGAGTAACACGTCAAGTCAACCACGAATCGGATCAGAAAAGGCCCTGCATCAAAACTATAATATATCTAGACATATGTTGGCTCACCTCTAATAGTGCATATACGATACGTCGTGTGCTCTTCGTTTGACTTGTGCATAGTACCTAAGGTATGTGCCTAATGTACAACAACCGCGCGCAGCTAGAGTTCCACGATGAAATGCGGCCATGTATGGGCATATATATGGGGGCGAGCCCATCATCGATCGGTACCTGCGAGAATCCGAATCTTTAATTTCGGCGGTTTGTACCCCCTTTTTTCCCTTTTACATGGGTTCCCCGCACGTCAGCTTAGATAAGAGATGAGTTAATTCTTACCTCGACCAAACTTTGCCTATGAAATGCCGATAGTCTTTAGTTTTGGGGTAAGGTACCGGAGCTTAATTAAATAGTTGGGGTTAGGGAGGAGCTAAGCACTCGTCCAGTAACGTTGGATCCCAAAGAAGGCCACAGATGCCGCCAACTTACCAACATCAAACACTAATCTAGTGCCCTAAGACCCTAGACGCCTCCGCCTATGCCCTATTTAATTGCAGGAAACATGCGCTGACCTCATAGCACAGACATAGTTAAAAATCTTAATTTAATCTTCCGCCTATACACATTCCTAGCACAGGTTCCTCAGCATAAATTCCTAGTCTAAGACAACAAAAAAAAACCCCCATCACAAAATGCAATATGATATTTCCCGTCCAACCTTGCCTTGACAATCCATCAAGCGGATTTTGCTTGTGTCTTGGTCACAAGACATCGAACCTGGAATCTCCACCGCTTTGCCATATTGTTTACGGCCCGTTATCCTCTTCCCTAATCATGCTTCTTAGGCGACATCTCTTGGACCTGCAGATCCGTTGCCCCTTTCGGAAGGTCATACATTTTCTTAATTATCAAGTATCCGCCATCTCGACTATGTATTGCCTAGAATATCATTACGGTACTAGTAAGTGGTTATCGACCTGGGATTTTAACTGGTAACGTTTCTCCCTTCCTCGCCGGACGGACTTCTAGTCCTGATTAGGGCACTGTCTAAGCGCTCTATCATATGAGCTATTCGGGGTAACATATTCGTGATGTTCAATCTGTGCCCCATGGCCCATTTTGAGTGAGACCTGGGATCCTCGTGCTTACAGTCTGTGATCATCAAAGTTGCATTGCAGAGACCCTTAGCTTGCATACCGAGCTTGCTTAACCTCCCTGTCTTGTCGGACGGCACTAGAGATTTGATCCCCGTCCCCAATAAACTTGCGAGCCGCAAAGACACTGCTCAACCCATATTGATACATATTGATAAGACTACAAGCCAAGGTTGGCTGGTCGCAGTGTTGGTTTAAGATACCAAGCTACATACCCTCACATCCACACACACACACACACACACACACACACACACACACACATATACATACACATACTTACAGGCATAATCTACAGGCATGATACCCCTGTTATTGCAGTCGAATTATGAATTATCTTCCGTCCAAGCTTTTGGTCCCTCTGGCTGCTGATTTAGCTAGTAGATATGGCTTATGCAGGTGACAGATATTTGCCTTCTGTAGCAAATTGCTACAACCCCGAGGCCCCATGTCTAAGTAGTTCACATACCGTAACGCTCAGACTTAGTATAAGACTCGGACCTGTTTCCTCTTCTTATCTCCTTTCTTCATTCCTACTGTCAGCCGTTTAAGCCCCCTTGGTTCAGTCCGCAGGCTCATTCTCTCGTGTTATCGCATATCACACGACTATGGTGAACACTAAACAGGCTCTCGCCTTTCTAGGCAGTGCCTCTTATGCTATAGCCCAGCCTTCATACGTGTCTCATCCTGAAAGAGCTGATGCTGTCAAGGCGGCGTTCCAGCGTTCTTGGGATGGCTACTACCAATACGCGTTCCCTAACGATACCTTGAGGCCTATCTCAAAGACATACCAAAATGATCGGTATGTGAATATCTTAAAGGTGCTTTTTGAGCGTAGACTAACTAAAATGACAGAAATGGATGGGGAGCCAGCGCGGTTGATGCCATCTCTACAGCTCTCGTAATGGAAAACGGAGATGTGATCAACGCCATTGTAGACCATATCCAGTCCATCAACTTTAACGCCACTGCTCCCGGCTCGGAGAGTGTCTCTGTATTTGAAACTACCATCCGCTACTTAGGCGGTCTCCTCTCAGGTAAGCTAGCGAGGATCACCCTTAACATAACCATTAGCTCACTATACACTAGCATACGATTTTCTGAGTGGCCCTCTGAAACAGTACGCAAAGGACCAGGCTTCGGTTGACAAGATTCTTCAGCAAGCAATTAATCTAGCTGATATTCTCAGCGTGACTTTCGATACCCCAAGCGGAGTTCCCATAAACACACTGATCTACGGCTCAGACGGGTATCACGTCGGTAGTGATACTACTAACGGTATTGCCACCATTGGAACTTTGGTACTTGAGTGGACTCACTTAAGCGACATCACGGGAGATGATAAATACGCAAAGTTAACACAGGTCGCTGAGGACTACCTTCTCAACGTACGCAATCCGGATGTGGGCGAGCCGTATCCTGGATTGATTGGAACCGATGTCAATATCTCCGATGGCACCTTCGCAGACTCCAGCGGTGGCTGGAATGGCGGCACGGATTCATTTTACGAGTATCTCATCAAGATGTATGTCTACGACCAAGACCGTTTCGGCGTTTACAAGGACCGATGGATTGCCGCCGTCGACTCGAGCATCCAGTATCTAGCATCTAACCCGACCAGTCGCCCCGATTTGACATTCCTTGCCGCCTACAGTGGATATGACCAGCTTGACTTCGTGTCAACTCATCTTGCGTGCTTCGACGGAGGCAGCTTCATTCTCGGTGGCTTGACCCTCGACAATGATAAGTACACCAAATTCGGACTCGACCTTGTGAATGCGTGTCACGAAACCTACCTCGCGACCGTCACCGGTATTGGACCGGAGGTTTTCTACTGGCAAGACAGCAATGTAGCAACCAATGCTAGCAATAACGGCCCGCCCCCGCAGGATTCCGCCAGCTTTTATGAGACTGCTGGCTTCTGGATCCCATCCGGCGGCGGGGATTACGTGCTGCGGCCCGAGGTCATCGAAAGCTTCTACTACGCGTACCGCGCGACCGGAGACACCAAGTACCAGGACTGGGCTTGGGAGGCGTTCCAGAACATCAATAAGACATGCAGCGCGGGTGTGGGATACAGCTCTATCCAGAACGTGAATGTCGAAGGCGGTGGTGGATTCGACGATTTCCAGGAGAGCTTCTGGTTCGCCGAGGTCCTGAAGTACAGCTACTTGATCCAGGCCGACGACGCGGCGTGGCAGGTCAATGCTGGTCACGACAACACGTGGGTTTTCAACACGGAGGCGCACCCTTTCCTGGTTAAGGGCCAACCAATCTAGATTCGCATATAGAAGTGAGCAGACTAAGAAGCATGTGCATTTTTGAGTAGCAGTCAGGGGTTAATTAATCTTGCATTGGGTCGGCGTTGGTTAATCAATTCGTTTGTATATATTTGGGAGTACTGTCGAGGCGTATATTTGTTAGGCATTATACCATCTAGTTTTGAATGCCTTGTGCGGCTGAATACTATATCCTCTCGACGTCGTGTTACTAGACTCCGTATTATTTAGTCCATAGCGATGAATCGATACCAGCCATACCAGCTCTCAAGTTTGAATTATAGTATCATGTATAGAGACACAGAAAACAACCCAGCTAATTTACTCGTATTATCAAGTCGAAACTCATGTGCCCTAATGTATCTGCACTATTGGTCGTACCGTCTGGCATGTGTCGCTAAGACTAATTTAATTTGTTCTCCGTGTCTCATGCTAGAAGCCGAGACACGGCTGTACTGTACCCCCGGAGCTATTCACAACAACATTCCGACCAGCTTCCGATAGAGTAACGTACTACATACCTAGATGCAAGACTTGTCCCCTAGGCAGATCGCTTCTAAAAATAGAGAAATGGAAAGAAGCGGGTTTAGGGTGCGAATGCGAAATACAGTAATGGAGAGTGGCCATGATACGGAGGATGTAAACTTGTCGGCATGGTTGGGACTTCGACGAGTAAAGTTTGGAAGGAATTAATAAATTATCATTCTAGCTATAATATGTCTGGTAAGTAACTTTTGACTTTCGTCTCTATAAGATTAGGGTAAACCCTGCTTCCTAGACCACACAGTAACTGCAATAGTGCCGGCGTACAAGGTCGAGAAATTAAAGCTATAGCAAGTTTGAAGAGAGACGTATATTTTTTAGTTATGGTAATACAGCGTATTATGAGTTAAATACGAGCTCTAAATATTTAAATACATCCCCATACTTAGGGTTATGACGTTTCGACGCAAGGGCTTATGCATGAACATCAACATGTCAAATATCTACGTCATGTGCATTGAAAATCTGTCTAAATCAAGGGTTTCAATATCCCATGAAGAATGATACTCGGAGCAATTAATACTATGATATATATAGCTTATATTGTCGCTATATTTGTAAGGACAAATACATACCTATGTAAGGGATAATATGAGTAAGTGTGCTAATAGTTCTAAAATAGAGCGTCATGGCATTCATCTATCGATCACAACTTCATCCCTTCAAAACTGTTCACGGCCTTTTTATGACAAAAATTTCCCAATGCTTTGCGTGGCCGTAAAACTACAACTTTGGCGCTCAAATATCGACCCCGGCGGTGTACCAACTTCTTCATCCTGGATGGTATCGACGATGAGAGACGTGGGGCAAATTCGTAAATCAGGAGAACAAGCTATATCATCATAGCAAGTTTTGCTTTGAAAGTCATTAGGTTAAGCCATGCACGAGATCAGGGGTGTTGATATTGGAATAGGGGAACATAGGAGTAATCGTTATTTGACCAAGTTTTAATATGGCATTTTACATACGTAAAATAGATAAATAGGAGGTACCTATATAGTATTGCTCTTTGAGTTCTAAACATCAGGATATATGTTTCGTTCCAATCTACGTACCTGACATATTAAACCTAGATCGCTAGAACATTCCGACTAGGTAGAATATTATAGTTATGAATTTCTTTACACTTAAGACGACATGCTCTAATTGGATATCAAGATAAATGGCAAACGTAGACAACCCCTGGTAATTTTCATCCCAGCCTCACAATCTTCCACATCCGCAGACATTCCTGCAGATCCAACGACAGCGTGCCCTCATGTGCCGTGGAAGTATCCTTGATCAGAGCAACCAGGAGACTAGCCAAGGCAAATACCACTTGATCCTCTCGCAAGGCTTCCAAGTCAGACCTCCTCATGCCGCCGTTATCAGCCCATGATTTCCATAAATCGAGCATCTTGCAAATCGACGAGGCGAATTGGCCATCGAGGATCATCCGATGTAGCAGCGAGCCCACCACGTCCCTGGGAGTTAGGTTGGAATTGATGCTGACGCCGCTAGCGATCGCACGCTCATGGTTCTGCTTGAGCCAGTGCAGATTATGCTCGGCTACAAGCTTCGTGTCCCACTTTGGGCTCTGCAGCGCCTCGGACGTGCGCGCTTCGCGACGCTGGTTCTCGAGCCTTGAATGGTCGCGCACTGTTAACGAGTAAGATAGGTAAGCATCGCCTTTATCCTCAGTTGCTATGGCGATTACTTACTGTCTTGCATTCTCTGGTTCATCTCCCTCTGCATCCGCTCTCGAGCAGCAATTTCCCTCTGGGGAGGGGTCATTTTCGACTCGGCCATTACGGCGGCACGCTGGTCCGCACTGCGTCTAAAGAATAGATCTCGGGCCTCTTCTTGTCCGTTATAGTTGGTAGCCCATTCAGGCGTCTGCGACTCGTGTACCACGCCTAAAAGCACGAGCACACCGCAGGGTACGCTGTCCCGCCGGGAAAAGGCGAGGATCTCATCGGGGATCTTGTAGTTCCATAGCACGGTTTGACTCGTAGTCCCATAAGCTGTCGCAACGCTCGAAAACCAAATACCATCGGACTTGCCAGGGCGAATCCGAAGATGTTCAATATAGAGGCTTTGTAGATTTATAGACGATAGTACGGCTTCATCCTCCTGGCTCTTCGCAGAGATTAGGCCTTCAACAGATATCTGGCATGTTATAGTTGCTCTAGAGCTTTTCTCAGCTTGCCTCTGAATCGAGTCGAGAAATTCTTTACGTAAGCTACTGTGCTCTTTCTCCTTAGCATTTTCCATATCACCCTCTCCGGCCTCTCCCTGAGCTGCAGACGGCGTCTCTTCGGGACCAACAGTTCCAGTGATCTCAGATTGTTCTGGCTGAGGCGGTGGTGGAAGTCTTATCCAATAAGGAGGCAAGGAAGAAAAATCCCGAGTCGTCCAATGCGATGACCAATTTACCTTAAGAGATAGATGTCCATCGGAATCGTCCAGAGGAGCGATGGTCAAAGCCTCATGTTGTCCGTCGGGCGACTTCATCAACGAGCAACCCGTGGGAGTCCATAGCCCCGTCGAGCGCAATAGTTTCCAGCCGTGCGCATCAGGGATGGCACCCAGGTCCAGTAAATATGCGATGAGTTTGTCAAATGCTACATCGACCTGTGGTTGTCGGAGCTGGTCCGCGTATTCCACACGCTGAGTCTTAGCGCCGATAGCGCGAGTCTGCCAGTTGAAAGTAGTCCACGATCCTCCGGGGATAGAGCTAGGTTGCCGAGAGGGCCGCCAGTATAGCTCCGTCTCTTCGAAGCGATCACATGGCGTGACGGCATATCGTGGTAGTTCCACTTCGATTACTCGATTTACCACATCGCTACGTGTTAATGCTGTTAAGCGACCATGTCTAAGCATGCGCTTAATCTTAGATAGGGCGGCTAGCGTTGCGACGGTGTTGTATAGGATAGGCAATACGCCAAGGACTGCTAAGGGAATACCAATAAACGTGATGATGTCGGTGGCCGAGTAGCCTGAACCTGTTGAAGACATTTTGGCGCCCTTCCTGATGATTGAAATAAAAATACAAAAATCCTCATAAATAATATAATGAACTTTCTATCTTATTGTGCCAACTCGGGTCAAGTTCAGCCCCAGCTGAGCTGAAAACTAGTATGCTCTGGGCTTGATGCATATTACGACGCGAAGGATGCTATGCCTCTTACATCCTGATTAGATTCTATCGCATTGTAGGCTATAAGGTATCTCAAAATGCATCCTTATTGATCAGAATTTCTTAGACTGACTTCTTAGACCGACTTAAAAGAAGTCTTTTGGACTAAAACTCGAATGACTCTCCAAGCATTTATACCCCTTTTTCATCAGGGGTTAGGTGTATATATATGTAGAGTGCTATTTATGTACTTATACAATTGAATCGAGAAATCGGGGGATATTTAATGCAAGGTACCCGAGGCTAGTGTGATATGGGGCTTAGATCGATTTACGGGTCCGCTTCAATCTCCACATGATCCCGCAGTAGCCCGCCATCGCGAACCTACCCACTTCAATCTTCATTTGTACCATACCCTACCTAGGTACCTCATATATCGGCTCACACATTGAATTCTAAGACATTAGCTATAACTTCTTATTCAACTACCTACCTAGTTACCTTCTATTGCTACTTTTGCCTCGTCTTGGTTCTCGTAACCTTCCATCCTATATTCTTCGGCCCGGGAGCCAATTGCGACCAAGAATGACGACCGTCAGACGGCGATAATGCGACTGAACTGCGCCAATGCAGTTCTAGTTGCTGCTATAAAACTATTACGCCTCGTCAATGGCCAATTTCCGAATTCTACGTCCCAAGACCTGAATCTTACAACTATTTCCTCACCGATCGACCCTAATATCAAGATCAGCTATAAAGTGCCTCATGGAGCCTGTAACACCGCATTCGAGTCGCAAACGCAGTATACTGGCTGGGTGAGCCTCCCGGGTGATTTCCCCACCAATACTTTCTTCTGGTTTGTTGGGGCGCGGGACAAGCAAGCCAATTCTAGTCTAACCATCTGGCTCAATGGCGGCCCGGGGTCGAGTTCTATGTTCGGCTTCTTTACAGAGAACGGTCCTTGCGAGGTGGTTGATAATGGCACCGACAAGTTCGCCACCATAGCGCGGGAATGGGGTTGGGATAGGGCGTCGAATATGTTATTTATAGACCAGCCGAACCAGGTTGGGTTTTCCTACGATGTCCCTACGAAAGGTTCCATCAACTTACTCACCAACGAAATTTATACCCCACCTGACAAGAGACCGGATTCGCTACCGCCGAGCGCATATCTAGACGGTACATTTAGTTCTATGAATATCAACCATACGGCTAACACGACCGAGACGGCAGCTATCGCCATATGGCATATGCTACAAGGGTTCTTAGGGGCTTTCCCGGAGTTGAATCCTCCAAAGGACAACGTCCTAGGCGTGAATCTGTTTTCGGAAAGCTACGGAGGGAAGTACGGCCCCGCGTTTGCGCAGAAATGGGAACAGATGAACGCCGTTCGAGGCAACGGGACTGTTTCGAATAGCACTTCCGTAGAGATTCGCCTTGTCTCACTTGGTATTGTAAACGGCTGTGTCGACGACTTGATCCAAGCACCATATTATCCCATCATGGCAGTCAACAATCCCTACGGTTTTCCTGCCATCAACTCCGTCAGAGCAAAAATGGCCAATGCTAGCTTCTACACCGACGGTGGGTGTCGAGATCTGATCAACCAATGTCGGACCGCAGTTGCTAGTAAAGACCCAAACAACAGCGGTTCGGTCCCAGACGTGAACCACATCTGCGAGTCCGCCTACAATAACTGTACCAACAACGTCATGTTGCCCTACTCAGATGCCGGCCGCAGCCTTTATGATATCGCGGCGCCTCTACCCGACTCATTCCCGCCTCGGCGATATCTGGAGTACGTGAACACGCCAACCTTCCAGAAGGCCATCGGCACGCGCCTCAATTACACGGAGACAAACAGCCAAGTTGCCGCAGCTTTCGCCTCCACCGGGGACTACGAACGCGAGGCAATGGTACCCAAGCTAGCCTCACTCCTTAACTCAGGTATTCGCGTAGGCTTTATATACGGCGACCGAGATTATATTTGCAACTGGCTAGGCGGCGAGGCAGTATCCCTAGCGCTCGCCTCATCCGTAGCAGGCTATGAAACAACCTTCGCGTCCGCTGGATACGCGCCCATCATCGTCAACGACAGCTACGTCGGCGGCGCGGTACGACAGTTCGGCAATCTGTCCTTCAGCCGCGTGTACCAAGCAGGCCACTTCGTACCAGCTTATCAGCCAGCCACGGCTTTCGAAATATTCGCGCGGGTCATCCGTGGCGACAGCGTGTCCACAGGAGAGAACATCGACCTTTCTACGTACAACACAACGGGCTCCGCCGAGGCCAACAGCACTCTTGACCTCCCCGCCGCCCCCTCACCAACCTGCTGGCTTCGCGACGTGCCCGGTAGTTGTAGCGAGGAGCAACAGAGCGCCATTCTAAACGGTGATGGTTCCGTTGTCAATGGCGTCGTAGAAACAGGACCAACGGTGACGACGCCACCAGCCTCTGCTGTCGCCAATCCTTCGACAACTACAACTCAGCTCACCGGCTTGTTTACGGCTACCGCAACGCCGTCGAGTGTAGCTGTGTCAAGGGTAAGGCCTGGTATTGGCTTGGGGTTAGCTGTCGGCGGTGGCGTTATCATTGCAATACTTGTTGGTTCATAAACTTAACTCTCGCCTTATACAGTACTTTGCACAGCATATCTATCATTGAAATCTTCCACTTTGGCCTGAATCATCATACTAGATACCCATACCCGAGCAATAAACAATTCTTGATATTATAATGATCTATTAAGCCTCGTCGGCGTGGCTAACATATGCACAAGATGGTTTAAAATCAAACAAGAGATCATATCATACACACGTGGCTTACTTATAACAGTTGACTGTCTACAATTGAATTTTCAGTGATAATTCTAATATATAGACGGCATAACCCAATATCTCCATCTACTTGCAACTCTTTCAAACATTGACTTCGTAAAGATGAAAAAGCAATACTTCATAACTTTTTGATATTGCTATTGATAATTATTCTGATTACACGTTGGGTAGAAACCACATGTATAAGACATGTTCCTGTATCTTATGCCAACTTGCAGAATAGCCTAGGATAGCGAAAGAAATCGAATATTACTTCACATCACTTACCTGTTAATACTTACAGTAGACTAGCCGAGACGGCAATACGCGGGCGTATTGGTTATAAGAGCATGAGCTAGCACTGGAGAATCAGTCAGCTTGATTCTAAACGGCGGAAAAAAAAAGCAAAGTTTGAAACCCTATATCAGATCCACAGCCTTGTCAAAGGCAATATCATCAAAGCTGTCGAGCTATGTTGACCGTCGTGAAATTATTGGTTCATCATTATAGGGTTTGTAGTAATAATAAGAAATTCGAGTTCTTACCTTTATTAGTCAAGGACAAGACAAAAAGGCCACTGCGAGCAGCATTCAGTAGATACTATCACTTCAAGTTAGCCCGGAGCAACGCTTGAGCGAGAGTGAAAAGATTCCATCTGCTGCAGTCAGACATGACCGGAGTCATCAACGCCGTAAAGCTCTGACATATGCTTGTCAATTGTTTTAGTCGGATCATCATATTGCAGCAGCATGTTGCCTTTCAAGTCTTGAACGTGTACTAACCGAAGCTGTAGGACTGGAGACATTGCACCTGTAACTGAAAGTCAGAATATGTCGACTATACAATAAATAATGACAGCGATAAAAAACAAGAGTTCAGAAAATGCATGAATGGTAGTAATTAGGTTGTCTACAACGGTAACCCGAATCAGACTCGTCATCTGTGCTCATCAGGTAGGTTGTTTTTGGTATGTTGAAAGAAAAATATTGCTTACCTTAGTCGCAAATGTCACGGAATCAAAGATTATATCCATTGCCCCGAGACAATTATAACCAATGTTCCTAGTTGACCATCGAATACCAAGTTTTACAATAGATATTGATAGAGGAATACTGCTTCGGAGATCCCATGTTAGCCGATATGCTCGATGCGAGATTAGATCGACCGAGACGAGGATGTCGTGATCAGTGGGCGAGGTTTTCTAGGCCTGCCACAAAATGGCGTATCGACTCATGTAATAATAATTCGGAGCCCAGTGCCGCTTCATCATTTAAGGATATAATATCGAGTTGAAAATTTGCATACCATTTAGCAATCAGTCAATCGAACCAGCTGTATGCGATATTAGCAACCATGTAAAAGTCAAAGTTTGCGAAATCGAGATGCAGGAAATATAAATCAGACAACAGCCAGTTTTTTTCGTCAAGAGCATAAGCTTCGGACGGTAATTTCCAGCTATGCAAATGCATAGAAGAATCATCATTTGGGTAACGTGGACGATAGTATAGAAAAGGAAGCTTACCTGTTAGGCGTCGTTCGAACTCGATCGCAACAGACCCAATCTATACCCTAAGGGAGGGCGGATTACCTGGGATCGCGTTAGCACAATGAAGCTCCAGATGGGTTCCATGAAGAAATTGAGATCCAAATCTATCCTCAGACTGACGTGTAAAAACAGTTTCATTCCCGTAGGTCAAAGACTCTAGTTTGCGGTTTACAACTTGTCATCAATGAAAGATGAATAGAAGGAATTTCTGTGTACTTACATTTTACTCCTGGAAATATCCATCTGGGTGATGTTGTTAAGAAGGAAGAATTGACGATGGTTGGAGGATGAAAAAAAAAATTATTTCTAGCTCCCAAGCTTCAAACTAAGTGGGGCGTGCCTGGTGGACGCGCGCCGGGAAAAGGAAAGTTAATAATCCGAGAAGCTCGGATCAATCAAACCCCGTCCAGGTACCACTGGGCTGGACAGGCACCTCCAGCTGCACTGCACCGGTAGAAATCCTGGAGCCGGAGCTACCTATGACCGATACCAAGAGTTGCCCCTCTTTCGGCCCTAGTGGTCTTAGCTCTGAAGCTCTCCCTGTTCCCTACCCCTCATCTGCATCATAGCGATGTCAATTTTTCTGTGTTACCTCACTATCTCAATTAACTCCGATTATTTCTGGGTACGTCTGGAAACTCGTACATAATGTAATACTTGTATTACCTCATTCCGCGGTCAAGGTCCTTTTAGTAAATAACCGACAGTAACAGAAACCTTACCGTGTCACATGGAGATATTCGAACGAATCAAGGGGACTCATCTCAACCCGGTAGCTCACACGACGCGAATCAAAATGATAAATCAAAGTTGCTGGTGCTGGTGCTGGTGCTGGTGACGTTTTAAAGGCCGAGCTTACCGGCATCTTCCGCATCTCCCGCCTCGGTATAATCGATGGCGGCTTAAATACCATGACCCGAAAAATCCTCTTTTTTAGAATCCATCCGGCTACTTCGTACACTATTGCCCAGCCCACATTTCCCCTTGGCCGGTAAATGGGGCTCTGGGTCCTGGGGTCTAGAATGACAGAATGGCTGCATGGCGGTCTGCTCGGGATGATGCCGTATGTCATCGTGCTGCTGTTACCCGCAGCACCGAGCAAACCAGTAATAACTAACAACACATTGGAACAGTGTGAAGAATGACAAAGACGAATTGGACGCTTTATAAACTTCCCAATACCCCCTCGGCATATATTTCTGAGAAACACCAAATTCTCGTTTTAACCTTTCTCACGATAAGTTGTCGGAGTCTAACCTATTAAATCAAATCAAATCAAATCCTCATCAACCAAATTTCCCCATTACTCCAAGATTCTCTTCTCTCCATTTCTCCGTAATTAGTACCTAACTTACCCCAAGTGAAACCTATCAGGCCTCTTTCGTACCTCCCTCTCCCCCTACCTAACTATCTCTCATCCCTCGACTTGATTTTGGATCTTCCCTACCTCTTTTAAGCATAATGGCGTCGAACGGTAACAGCAATGATGTACCTCCAGCCGAAACGGCTACTGTAAACACAAACATTGTGACTTTAACTCGTTTCCTTACGGAAGAGCAGACCAAACACAAAGAGGCAACTGGAGATTTCACGTATGTCCTACCTTATCTAGGAACTAATAGATCAACTATGGCTAATTCAATACTCTATCAGATTATTATGCCATGCTCTTCAATTCTCCTTCAAGGCCATCTCCCATTATATTCGCCGAGCCACACTAGTAAACCTGACAGGCCTCGCTGGCCAATCCAATGCGACAGGTGACGACCAAAAGAAGCTTGACGTCATCGGAAATGACCTTTTCATAGCAGCTATGAGATCGTCGGGGAAGTGTGCATTGATAGTGTCGGAAGAAGAGGAAGAGGTAATATACTTTAAAGATCACACCGGAGCTCGGTACGCTGTAGCTTGCGATCCCATCGATGGAAGCTCCAACTTGGATGCTGGCGTCTCGGTTGGAACAATCTTCGGTGTTCACAAGTTGGCTGAGGGTTCCACAGGAACAAAGGAGGATATTCTGAAGCCCGGAACGGAACTTCTTGCTGCTGGATTCACCATGTACGGCGCGTCTGCTCAACTCGTTATCACAATGATGGGCGGCACTGTCAACGGCTTCACGTTAGATAATTCGTTCGGCGAGTTCATCTTAACACACCCGAATATGCGAATCCCGAAGCAGAGAGCTATCTACTCCGTCAACGAGGGTAACTCCCTCTACTGGGAAGACCATACCAAGGAATACTTCAACTCTCTCAAATTCCCTCAGGGTAACGGGAAACCCTACAGCGCTAGATATATTGGTAGCATGGTGGCTGACGCATATCGAACGCTGCTGTACGGTGGTATCTTCGCCTACCCCGCGGATAAGAAGAGCCCTAAGGGAAAGCTGCGGATTCTATACGAATGCGCACCTATGGCTATGGTTTTTGAAAATGGTAAGTGGTGACTATTGTATCTTTTTCGTAACTTATACTGATTGTTCCTTAGCCGGTGGCCAAGCCGTAGACAGCAAGATGAGACGTATGCTTGAAGTCGTCCCGGAACACATTCACGATCGATCAGGTATCTATTTGGGTAGCTACGACGAAGTCGAGAAGGTCAAGTCATTTTACAAGTGATTTAATTCAGATGGGTTGCTGTTGGATATTGGGCCTTTCAAACTGGTTAGGCGATGAGGCAAAGAGCATTGGAGCGTTGGGCACTTCGTAATGAATACCAGTCTGATTTACGATGAGGATATGATCCAAGAAAATTGTATATGCGGCATGCAAGTAATATGTAAAAGACCATCATATTCATCATATTACAAATATAATATACATTATCATAACATCCTAGTATAACTTGGGGAAGAATTTGGGCGTGTTTCGTTTCCACTCCTGATAATCTTTACGATGGCCATACTTGGCATCGTACTTCTTCTCGCTCAACGGCACACCCGTCACTTTCAACAGTAAAGACGTTATGAACGCCGGGCTCACAAACGATGCTGCCAAGACCAGGAGCTTGCCTAACAATCCACCCGAAAACCCAAGTCCGACCTGAACTGGACGTGCCACCAAGACACCAGCAGCTGTGGTAGCTATACCCGTCCACAGCGTACATTCACCCAAGTAATTTGGATACTGGCTACTCGATCATCAGCTTCTCACAACCCTTCACAACTCCTTACAAGAACACTTACCTCCGACTCCACAGACCCTCCGTCATAAACGGCTCATCATGCAGCTTCTCCTTGCGGCGGCGCAACCACTCGCCCTTCTGCCGATCAGCAACGATCTCGAGCGCGAACCCGCCGGCAAACAGCGCCAGGCCCAAGACGTCGGTAACCCGTAGCGGCACGGCAGCGAGCGCCGCGGGCGGGACCGCGTTGACGGCTAACACGGGCGCTAGACACAGCGATACCCATGTCGCTTGGCCGAACCAGGCGCCTGCGAATTTACCCGGCGACCCCCGCAGCGTGTCGAAGCGGGAGTCGTGGCCTTGGTGCAGGACGCGGCGGAAGAGGTATGTGCCCACTGTGGAGGCACGTTAATAACTCAACCCTCTCACGTAGCACATACGCTTGAATTCCATCTAATAGTGATCTTGTATACACTTATTAGGGTATAAAGGTAAGAAGAAGAAGAAAACAAGGCTACGCACATCTAACCGACCAAAACACCACAGCAGCGCTCAGCGCAACCTGGCGCCAGTGGAAACCAGCGGTCGCCGTAAACGGACTTGACAGGCTTGCCAACGGGGCACCGGCCAGTGATGCAGCGGCGCGGGTGCGGAGGCCAGGAAGGTATAAGCTCAACAGGGTGACGGTCAAAAACGTCGCGGAGCCGGAAACATCGTAGAAACGCTCGCTTTGGGCGGCGATTGACGGGATGGCTACGGCCGTCTGCAAGGCAAAGGCCGCTGCGACGCTAGGTACTACTGTGCGTAGGAAGGGGTTCCGGAAGTTGGTTAAGTGGAGGAATTTGTGTAGCATGCCTGATGCCATCGTGAAGATGGTTGGGTTAGGGGTATGGATTAGGTGTAACTAGATAAAACCGCCTAGGTTAGGTACCTAATGTATGGATTGGGGTATTATATATATAAAAAATGTCAAGACTATATGTTATATATCTGTCAATCCGGTATCGTGTACATGTACTGCTTTAAGAGTCAACTATGTCACGACTTCGTGGTGACGTAGATGGTATTCTCAGCTGTAGAAAAAGAGAATGTTTTTTCCATTGGGAGTTTGTGTGATATGCCCCACTCTTGATCGCCTTGTTAAATGATTCTCGTTGGGATCTTATAACCCCTGAGCAGTGAGTGCTGATTAGCGGTCGCATATACATGTATATATCCATCGACTATGATATGTAGGTACATATGAAAGGGTTATCAGGTTATTCAACTCATATCATATTAAGAACTTATTAATCTGAGTTCTAAGAATTGAGCTTCTGGGTCGAATCAGGATATATTTATGTCTTACTCTGCGCCCCATACCTGTTCACCATTAAACCACGTTTCCTTTACCGCAGCACCAAGAAGCTTGTCCTTATCCCAGTCCATATCCCATATCGTAAAATCCGCAACCTTACCCGGCTCTAGGCTGCCTAGACGTTCATCCCAGAACACGCTTCTGGCCGAGCCATAACTCGCAGCTACTACGGATTCGCATACGCCGAGGCGGAAGTTGTAGTTGACAACATTTTCGTGCTGCGTGTTTCTGTAAGACTTCCTTGTACTCGCAACGTAGACGTTGCCCATGATATCCCACGGTGATGTCGGACTGTCGCTGCCGAGAGCGAGCGGTGCGCCGCCGTCCGAGAACTCACGATAAGGGAAAGCGCGCTCGCAGCGGTGGCCTAGGAGATCTGGCCACGCCCGGAGGATCCATGGGTCAGCGTGAACGGGCTGAATCGAAGCGGTGCTGTAGATAGAGTGAGTATAGGTATAATCAACTATAAAGCAATTGTATATGAACTCAGGAAAAAACCAACATTTCAAATTCTCCGAGGCGCTTGGCGTCCCGAGCAGATGCGAGCTCGAGATGTTCCATGCGGTGACGATTCTTCGGGGAGCACGTAGACAGGGCATCAACAGCCATGGTAATGGCAGCGTCTCCGATAGCATGAAGCGCGACCTGCAAACCCGCGGCATCAGCTTTGCGCACAACCGCATTGAGTATCTCGGGGTTCCAGAATGGCTCGCCGGTGATATGTTTCGTAGCGTCAGCTCCTTTCAGATAAGGTTCGGACATATAAGCGGTGCAGGCATCGATGATGCCGTCACAGATGACCTTGATACCGACGACGTGGAGGTCTGGCGACTCCTCGGCGGTGAGCTGCTTGTGTACCTCGATAGCCCGGTCAACCTGGGAAAGACAGTCGGCTTCCGAGCTTGAAGGCGTTATAAGCCAGTAAGCCGCAAGCCGGAATGGAAATGGTCGTTCTCGCTGTTCTTCGCGTATATCGAGAAGAGTAGTCCAGGTTTGTTCTTCCATCGCCATGTCTATTGCCCCGGTATAACCGGACTTATTGTATGTCTGTACTGCAGCCCGGATCCAATCCTCGAGATCGTTCTTAGTCGCAACTGATGCAAGGAAAGGCCAAATAATAGTGAAGACGGCGGCTTCTTCGAAAGCTCCCGTAGGGTTTCCATCCGAATCACGTTCGGTTTTTCCTCCTTCAGGATCCACTAGGTTCTTCGCATCAATTTCCTCAAGAGCAGAGGTGCTACACCAGGTTGTGTGAAGATCCTTAGAATCTACATAGATAGGCCGAGGGTCTAAGTCATCGACTAGACTTGCTAGAGGTTTTGACATATATCTCATCCATCCTTTACAGAGAATACGCGGTTCGTTAGGATTTGCAACTGCATAATCCTTGATTGCCTTGCGAATATCGTTCAAGTTCTCACAGTGGTCCAGCCCAACTTTGCTCAGTGATTGTCCTAGTCTTAGCAAGTGAATGTGGCCATCAATAAAGCCCGGCAGAACGGTTCGCCCATTGAGATTGTGTATAATAGCACCGGCAGCTCGGGACTGGGAAATAGCGTCATCCTCCTCCAAACCAACGTGCTCAATGATTCCGTCGCGTATGTAAATTGCATCCCCAAATTGAGGCTCCGTCTCGAGCCCCGGTTTCTTGGCGTGCAGGAACACTTTCCCGCCAACGAAAAGATGGCCTTTGGATTGTGCCATTGAGATAACCATTGGGTGTTTTTCGAAACATATAAATAATAAATGACCGAGCGTATTGTTGGGAACTTGGAAATAAGTTAGAACTCTACCACCACAGGAATCATCAGCGTAGAGAGCCTCTTTCCGAGGCGTTCGTAAGAAGGCGCCCCGCGTGATCCACCAATTCAGTTTAAGTCAGCTGGGGGTCAGCTAGAAAAGCCGTCCGATCCAGGAGCTTGGTAGCCTACCTAGTCTTTTAGCCCCTGCACATCTATTCGAACGATATAGCGAGACTCCTAGAGTGTGCGTATAGTCGTAATATAGGTACCTATTTTAAAGGCAGTGGATCCTACGGAGTTCATGTCCGTCTCGACTTCTCCGCCAGCATCGTCAAACTTACCTTGGGTACCTAAGGTAGAGAACATGGCAGGTCCGAACGCCCGGAGAAGGTTTATGTAACTGCAACTGCTAAGATGTGACAAAGTCTTTTCTTAGCTGCAGTAATCTGGGGCTATTGGCTTTGCTTATATTTGACTTGGGTAGCTCCCACATCCATGGAGGCTATCCTCGAGTTAGTCAGGACCGTTTCTTATTAATGTACCTAACAACTCCCCCTTTTATACACATCTCAGAGTAGCCCTCACTCAACTTACTTTATCCTCAACTAATCGAATCATGTCTAAGGATCCTGAAAGGCCTAACGTTGTCCTCATCCTCGCAGACAACCTGGGATGGGGTGAGTTAGGCTGCTACGGAGGAGGCATCCTCAGGGGTGCAGCTACGCCCAGAATCGATGCTTTCGCTAAAGAAGGACTGCTTCTACATAATTTCAATGTTGAAAGCGACTGTGTGCCGACACGTTCAGCTCTGATGACAGGTAGACATCCAATTCGCACTGGTTGTCTACAATCAGTTCCACCTGGCTTTCCTCAAGGTCTTACGCGATGGGAGAGGACTCTCGCAGAAGTCCTGAAGACAAATGGCTATGCCACAGCGCATTTTGGAAAGTGGCATTTGGGTGATATCCCAGGCCGTTATCCTAGCGATAGAGGGTTCGATGAGTGGTACGGAATCCCTAGAACTTCCGATGAAAGCCAATTTACTTCGACGGTTGGGTTTGTAGCTGATGTTGTGGAAACGCCGTATATCATGAAGGGGAAGGCTGGCACACCGTCCGAAAATGTCCATGTATACGATCTTGAGCAGCGAAGGTTAATTGACGAGACATTGGTCGAATACTCGAAGGATTGGTTAAGCCGGCAAGTTAACGAGGCGAAGGCGCCGTTCTTCTTGTACCACCCGTTGATACATCTACATTTTCCTACACTGCCGCATCTCGACTTTGTAGGGAAGACAAACCATGGTGACTTTTCAGACTCCATGGCCGAGATGGATTTCCGCGTAGGTCAGCTCCTTGATCACATCGATTCGCTTGGTATTGCCGATAACACCGTGGTTATCTTCGCGTCCGACAATGGACCAGAATTCCGCCCCCCTTACAAAGGAACAGCCGGCCCTTGGTCAGGCACGTACCATACCGCTATGGAAGGAAGCCTTAGAGTGCCCTTCATAATCCGATGGCCAAATCATGTTCCTCCAGGAACCACCTCTAATGAGATAGTCCATGTCACCGATATCTTCTCCACCATTATCAGCATTACTAAGTCTCCGTTGCCTGACGATCGACCCTTTGACGGTGTCGACCAGACTCCCCTTTTTCTCAAGCCGGTTGAGTCAAAGTCGTCTCGCGAGGGATTCTTGTTTCATATTAAGAACGAGTTACGGGCAATTAAGTGGCGAGATTGGAAAATGCATTTCGTTTGGGAGCCGCAGGTGAACAAATCATCAGGGAAACTAGAGTCCCCATACCTATTCAACACCACGCGCGATCCGAAAGAGGAAACGGATATATTAGCATATAATACTTGGGTTATGCAACCTATGTTTAGGCTGAGGACGGAATTTGAGAAGAGTTTGAGGAACGATCCGGCACCACCAGACCCTCTTAAAGCTTTATGATCTCAACCAGAAGTGGACTGGAATTTGGAGTATGAATGTAGATAGACAACTCGTATACTCATGTATTGTGAAGAGAGAAATATGAAGAGAAAAAAGCGCGTATTGGTTGGTGTAAAAGTCCAGAAGAAACGCGTCATAGGAAATTCGGCTCATGCCTGTCCTGTCATTGCTCCGTGCGTTGTTTCCTTTTAGAAATGTATTGCACCGGGCTGATCCGGGGGTACCTAATCCGGGGACGGTTCGATTAGATAAGATGACAGGGCGCTAGGAATTGTCGCAATATGCACCTAAACCACGACAAGGTACCTTATTTCCGCTAACACAGAAGCCAAATGAAGGAACCCTATTCCGAATCCTTCTCTTCAACATGTAGCATCAGATCATCTTATCTTTGACCATACTTCATATATATTTATAGTAAACTATACAGATGGAAAATAGTCACGTTAGGCGCTTATCGTAAGAAACCGGTTCCCTTAACCCCTTAACTCGAAGACTAACACAATTGATAGATGCAAGCGTTGTCAACATAGAAAAGTACTAAGATCCCAATTTTTTTTCTCCTTAGGTACTATTTAGTATCTAAAGAGATTTGCAGTGCTAAACTATTCATAATAGGTTCGCTGCTCGCGAACCCATCCATGTGGAAATTGCTCCGCGGCGAATGCGAGATGTGAGTTTCGCGATAATGATTTCAAACGGCCTCCCGTATCGCGCGAGTACGCTACAGCTCTTGAATCTCGCGTTGCCACTCTTGAAGGAATTCTAGCCAAGCTCAAGAATGCCTCTCATGAAGAACGCAATGCTCTTCTTGAAGATGTTATCCTCCATGATCATTTGATCTCTTTCGAGGGTCCTTTAACAACCCAAGAAGAGGAGCTAAGCGGGTCAATGGCGAAGGCATCCCTGCAAGAGACTACTGAAGGTACCTACCTATCTTTCGTGCCAATAGCTTACCTCGGTACCACTAACCGATGTCTTGTACAAAGGTTCAATGATATATCATGGCCCTACAAGTATTTTCACCGGCGTAGACGAGAATCCGGTAGTCAACAACACCCCTATAACTACCTCCCCGTCGTACGAAAGTGTGGAATACTACCACAACCCTACGATACGCCTATGTCTCGCACTCTTCTTCCACTGGCAGTATCCCCAGTTTATGTTTATTGATCGGGAATGTTTTGTTCAAGAATTTGACCGGGACCCTATTAATAGCGAATTCTGCTCACCACCACTTATCTATGCGACGTGTGCTTTAGGTGCGCTGATGTCGCATGATGCAGATATTAGGGCCCTGGCATCTAGGTTTGTGAGCTATGCGGAGGACACGCTTGTGAGACAAGGACTCGTGGTTCCAACAATAACCTCGGTACAAGCGCTATTGTGCTGTGCGTACTATGAGGTCGGAAAGGGGAATTTGTCTAAAGGTTGGATGTATTCTGGTAAGTTTCTAGTAGACTTCTGATTTAATGCTGCATAACTCTAAGGTGAAATGAGGCTTGGCATTTAGGATGGGACAAGACCTGGGACTTCAAAGAGACCCAGCACTCTGGGGACGACCTGTGCAATCGACAGCGGTGTACTTCTTTGACGAAGAATTTCGACGACGGATCTACTGGGGATGCTTTTTATCTGATAAGTATAAGAATTCTGGTCGATGCCTGAAAGACTTGGCCGTTGACATTTGATTAGGATCTTTAGTCTCTTCCTTGGGCGGCCAACATTCATGCACGAAAACGATGCGGATGTTGACACCAGTGAGCCTTTGCCGTAAGTGTGATAGGTAAGACATATTTTCACATTTGCTGATTATAGTAAAAGGCATTATCCCCCTATATGGGACGACTGGCTTCAGTCTCATAATATGAGTTTCCTCAAGACGGTACATACAGGCCCGAAGTTAACATTGCTATTTAACCAACAAGTTGAGCTTGGACGTATTATCCACGACATGCTCTCCAACGTATTTTCGCCTAAGGGAAAGGGCTCCACGAAGTCTAAACGCTGGACTACAACCGTATTACAACAACTAAATGCTAGGCTGCTATCTTGGCACGAAGCACTTCCTGCTGATATGAGGTGGAAGAAGTGGTTTACTAACAGAGATCGTCTGCAGCCAAACGTAACTGTCTTGCAGTAATAACTGTTCTAGCCCCCGTCTACAAGATTACATTGCTAACTGTATTGACACAGTACGCTATACCATAGCACTCGTATATGTTTTAATCTCCCATTTGTCGCGACAATTGAACCAGATACTTTGCATGAGAACCGAGGCCCGGTTTCTGATTCTCTTGCGGAGTCTATTCAGATATGCAAGTCTTCTGCGGATGAGATAGCTAATATTCTGGGGCGGTTTAAAAGCCAACACACACTAGGAAATACCCCTTTAATCTTGGTGCAGGGCGCTATAGTTGCTACGAATGCCATTATAACCACATCAAAAATTTCAAGCTCTTTAACTTCCCTAGCTGAAGATACTCCTTTTCCAACCCTAGACGAAGCCTTGAGCGAGATGTCGGTATCGTGGACGTTAGCTAGCGAAGCACGGGCAAAGTTCAAGAGAGCACTGGGTCAACAGCATCCTGAACAATACGAATCAAATTCCAGCGTAGAGGCTATGGCCGAACAGGGCTCCGGCAATCCCCTAGACACATTTCAGTGGCCACAGATGGCCTCTCCAGGCATCATGAATTACGATGTTCTAGACCCAGCACTCGACTTAGTGAGCCCAGAGCAATATTTATGGGAACCTATGGGGTTTATTGATATCGAACCAACTGTTCCTCTGGATATGACCTAATCAATAAACTGGTGCTTTTTATGATAATGAAACAGAACGGAAGACGCAATTCGAATCACAATTATTACAAGTGTACCACATATATTCCCGTCGGTTTATTGGCCGTCGTATCTTTTAGTTTCGCTATGCACAGCGTGAGGATGGCTCGCTTTTCCCAGAAGTAGTCCCATATAATATTGTAGAGAGAAAGCCTATCCCGGATGAGAAAGAGTTGTTCCTCGCGAACCCTCAAAGACCCTTACTCGGCATATACCCTCATCAATCCCCATGTCGCAATCTATGGGGCGGGTAACATTGAATCCAACGGAGTCCAACTCCGTGTGCAGACCCCTGTTCAAGTAGCACCAACTACATCTCGCATAGTCCGTCTGCTTAACCTATATTTACGTGGCGTGTCTTTAGTAACCCCCAGATATGTAATACCTACACGGAGATGATAATAGCATAGACGGCCTAGATGGTATCATTAGAATTACCCGACTGTCTATTAGATAAGAATAGGTCATATCTAAACGTCAGATCAGATTGAATTATCTTTCCGGCCTAACTATCCAGTAGAAGTTCTTCGATTACTCTAATGGAGTCACATTTCTTTCTACCCTTGAGTCTACCATCAGTACGGCTATCGGTGGTGGTATCTACCATGGTAAAAAAAGGGGGTTGGGGAGAATGGTTCCGTACGGTAGAACGTTTTTAGGTTTTAAAGGCTTTGATCGGTCAAAATTCATAAATAATATGGCGGATTTTTATTTTTAAACTTTTACTTTACAAAAGCTATTTTACAATCATAAAACTGTTCCATCCCACAGAATCGTTATTGTTTTCGAAATGATTTTTATTACTGAACTTTCTTGAAAC